TGAAAATTCAGTCATGCCAGCTTGAGCAAAATTGATTTGAATGTGTGTTTGTGATTATTGCTGGAATTTGTCTATCTAGATGCTTTATTATATATGTTTTTCTTATAATTTCATAGAACCACAGCCTGCTTTGGGTCAGAAGGGACCTTAAAGGTCCTTAAATTCCAACTCCATGCCATGAGCAGGGACCCCTTCCCCTAGAGCAGGTTTCTCCAAGCTCCTGTGTCCAATCCGGCCTTCAACACTGCCAGGGATGGGGCAGCCACAGCTTCTCTGGGCACCCTGTGCCAGCGCCTCAGCACCCTCACAAGGAAGAGTTTCTGCCTAAGAGCTCAGCTCAGTCTCCCCTCGGGCAGGTTCAAGCCATTCCCCTTGGCCTGTCCCTACAGGCCCTTGTCCCAAGCTCCTCTCCAGGTTTCCTGTAGCCCCTTTAGGCACTGGAGCTGCTCTAAGGTCTCCCCTTAAGGAGCGTTCTCTTCCCGAGGCTGAAGAAGCCCAGCTCTCTCAACCTGGCTCCATAGGGCAGGCTCATATTTAGGAAACAGCTTCATTCCACAAGTAGGTCTCAAAACTTAGGATGTCCTGAAATCTGTGTATGATCATCTAAGCCAGGCTGGAGAGCAGAGCCTCATCCAGGTGAAGTCTGTTCTGATGCTTTTTCTGTTATCCTTGTTTACAAAGCAGTTAGGAAAAATTAGCCACTTCTTTTCATGAACATGGTTTCATTGGTGTTTATGAACTCTGCGCAAATAGTATTATTCCCATCTTTGTTCAACAACATGGAGAGAGTTGTTCCAGGGCGAGTTGTTCTCCAGTTCCTACTTGAAGACATGGAGAAGTGTGTTTAGGTACTTTCAGAAATTCTGCTGATGGTTAAACCCAGTGAAATATTTTCTTCCATAGTTTGAAACTAAACCCTGCAATATACTGATGTCTGGCAGCTAAAGAGACAGTTTAAGCTCATTATCCTGGTGCTTACAGTAAGCAGTACAAATGGGGGAAACAGGATTTTGAAGTATTTACTATCAAACCACTTTAAAGACTGTGTTTACATACTTGCTATTTCTTGTAACATAACTCATGAACAGAAGGCTGATAGTGAAATTCTCCAAGCAGGCAGTTCCGTGGTGGGTGGTGGTTTAGGTAGAAGGTTTTGCTTAACCTGGTGATCTTCAGGTAAACCTCTGTGCAGCCACACTTGACAGCACACCAGGGACTGAGAGGATCCCACCAGGACTATACAGGGGCCTCTTGCATAGACAAGTGGCTAAAACTGGTTAAAGAAGAGGAGGTGAAGGCTGTGAGCATCCTGGAATAGCAACTGGTGGTCTGACTCACCAGTATTTTAATCAGTCAGGCATTCTATTTATTTTTACTTTGGAACTCATAGATACTCAAGGGAAGTCTTTTTTTTTTTTTTTTTTTTCCTCTCTTAAGCATGTTAAATTCAAATGGCATTCAGTGGTTTAAGGTAAAGGGGTGTGTTGAGTGCTACAACTGGTTTTTATTAGTCCCTTCTGACACAAACTGAAAGTTCTCCTTGCTAACAGCACCCAGCATGTTCAAATAACCACCCCAGGCCCATGCTCAATAATGTGCCTTAAACAGACATGGCTGAAAACAGAACCAGCTTCATTCCAGTTCCATCTGAAATGTGGGCAGACAGGAGAGCTCATCGATAGCATGGAGCAGAGCAGGACAGCAGCGAAGAGGCAGGGACAAGGAGAAGTGGTCTCTGGGGGCTGAAGGGGGTCTACACATACATCTGCTCCTTGGACCCCAAACCAGGTCTTTAGTTCATTTTTTAGCAAGTGTCTTTTTGTGGTGAAAGGTGTGTTTTGCCAAGCTGGGATGTCTTTGTGTGGTGGTTTTGTAGCTCATACTCCAGATAGGTTCTTTTGACTGCAGACCAGGCACTTTCTGGAATCCTTCCTGACAGTTGTTAGCACTGGGTGGTCCCCAAAAGGTGAATGTTCTTCTTGTCAGCTGACATTCCCTGTTCAGTGATGCATAAATTCCTGGCTCTTCCCAGCTGTTGCTTTGTTGTAGTGCTCCAGCAAAGCAGCATTGCTGAAATGCTACTTGTGTTGTTTTAATAAAGCAGGTAGCAGCTGCAGAAGAGAAGGCTGCCTAAGTTAATGCATTGTTCATCAAACTCTGCTCAGTAAGGAAGTGGGAAACCTCACTGAGACAACATGACTTTTTTTTGTCTTCAAACTAAATGTCAGTGTGAAACTGCTGCTGAACACTCACACTCAGACCAGGAGAAGAACTTGGCGTGCTTCATTAGCTGACTTTGGAAGTCTTATTTATATTTTAAAGCTCTTTCCCAAGTCTTTTTTAACCAAATTTATGGGCTACTCCATGCAACATTGACTGAAATTTTCCAAAAAGCCATTGGCAAAGGAGATCTGAGCCATGCAGACCAGGCAGGACGCTATATGAAAGTGTACTGCAGGGTGGTTTAGTGCTGAAGAGGTATTTGCATTCCCTTTTTCCAGCTACGAGTCTTTCTATATGCATAGTAACTTCATGAAACAAAAGAAATGATCTTTTAAGGTCCCTGCTACGCAAATAGCTTCCAGTTGAGATGGAAGAGCTCAAGAGGGTGAAGAGGGATTTGTTTAGAGAAGGGAGGGAGGAAGAGGCTTTAAAGGAGTAGAAAGCACGTGGTTATCTCTTCATTAACCAGATTTGAGTGTTTTCTGAATTCTGACTCCCTACAAGTCTCAGATAATTTTATCTAGTAGGTTAGCTTCTCACAGGCCTTGTTTGAGGGAAGAGTTGCCCCTGCCTCCACAGACAACTAAGAAGGTGCTTGGCTTTCATTCTGTAAAAACTCACTTTCTTTTTTACAACAGTGAGGACTGACATCAGTTAACCAGAGGTGAGTGTCAAACCTTTGTGAAGATAAGGAGCAAGTAGTCTTTGCTGCTGCTAGCAAAGACCCATTGTGGGTTGGGTGTGTAGTATTCACTTTTATCCACTGCGTCATTACCCATCTTCCCCTTTTCTCCTTGAAAATAATTAGCCCATACACACATCTACAGAAGGAAGAAAGTCAGGGATATTGAAATCAAGAATTACAGTTGGATCTAAGAGATGTGGATGAGGAAGAGGTTTTGAAAACCAGAGAAGCAGTTTGGGGTATGAAACATCCCCCCTCCAGCTCAAGAACTTGAAGCTATGTTGCACATACATAACTTGTGTCTGTACAGGAAGCTATGCTCGTCCTGGAGTGGTGGCAAGTAAATAGGCAGCTGAAACCGCAGCTCCAACGTGTCTTATGTCAGTAAATCCTGTTCTTAGTGGTCTTGCTGTGGAACATCAGGTACCCATTCACTGCTCCTAAGGCTCCCTTTCATCTAGAGCTTCCCTGAGGACGGCTGAACACAGAGCCTGGGCCTGAGAGACCAAGTGCCTGCATCCAGATTAATGGGGCTTACGAACACTTTGTGCCACCCCTCCAAGTGTATTGCACTGAGTCTGCCCTCGTCAGTTCTGAATACATAGCTTCAAGGGAAGTGAGGCTTCCAAACTGATCACAAGGTCCTGATCATTGCTTTTAATCTGCCAATTATACTTTGTTGTGTGTGCCATAAAAATAGCTGGGGTTTTGATTCTTCTAAGGACCTGAAAATTGTGCAGCAACAGTTAAACTGGGCTGGGCATACAGCTTCTGCGCCTACACAGCCTTGTATACCTGAGTCACACATTAAACTGTCTGAGTGCTGGTGCCTGCTCTGTTAGAGGACGTTGCTTACAATAGCTACCTCTTTTTTTTATTTCAGTCAGCAAGTGAGGTATGTGCTTTGTTGACTTTAATCTCAGTAAAGTTTCCTTGTTACTCTTCCATTTCAGAGGGTGACCAAGGACACACAGTTTTGCTTCTTCCCTTCTCCCTCTGTTGTCTTTTAACTAAGCTGAGGAGTGACTGTTAGAATTATGTGTTCTTTGGCGATGGGGATGGGTTTGTGCTGCAGACCTTGAAGGTCCTTGAAGGGGAAGGGAGGGCAAGGAGAGACAGAGTTAATGCAAATCAGGAGAGAGTGAGTATAAAAATAGCTCCCAACTTGTCAGTTTGGTCACTGGTGGCTTGGGTTAGTCATCTGGCAGGCTTTCTTTCTGCTGCTCCAAGGGATTATTTTACAGCACTGAGATTTGACATAATTTCTGTAGAGGAGAGGGAGTGGGATGGGTGTAATGAGTGGGATACTGTCATCAGCACTTCTTTTGCACAGCAGCTGTTCTCTGGAGAATGAATGTGGTCATTGTTGACTTTCGTTGTCTACCTGCCAGGTTGTTAGGTGACTCATTTATCCATCACACCAAGGTTCAGGCACTTGTCTCTCAAACAGCTCCCTTCCCATTTTCTTGGGGGTCCTTTATGGAGCACCCACTGGTTTAGTCGTTTTCCTGCCTGATCTATGTTGCCAGGAGCCTGTTGGAGTCAGTATCCTGTTGCCCCAGGCAGCTGTTCAAAGCAGAGGGGAAAAAAGGAAGAGGAAAATCCCTGGTGCAGATTTAAACTGATGAGCCTCAAAGATGTGCTCCTGTAATAGATCTGAGATCTTGGCTTTGCTGGCCTCAGTTCAAATGTCCCTGCTCCTTGCCTTACACTGTGCTTGTGGTGCTTAACACCTGTGCGTGTTTACTGAGCTTGCTGAGTTTTTGTGGGTGTTTAATGGTGGAAAAGTTCATTGTGAGATCTTGCACCTGAGCTGTGGGAGCACTGGCTCAGGGAAGTGACCTCTGCAGGTAAAGGCCAACAGAGCATATTCTGGTTTAAAAGAAAACAACGGATTTAACTTGTCTAGAGTCAGAGGTGAGGAGCTCAGGGGCTAAACCAAAGTCATACGTCCTGTGGGCTCATGTTTAGTGTGGCTGTAGGGAACTGAACTCTCCATGTTCCTGCATTTCACCCACAATATCCCACAGTATCTTACTTCCATGCTTCTTTATGCTTTTCTTTTTCCATTTCTGGCTCCCTTCCACCTTCCTCTGTGGTGCCAGTTGGCCAAGATTTGGCATGTGCAGGGACTTGTTTGGAGGTACATCTCTGCTCAATGCTCAGCAGCCCGTGCTGACTGACTCGCCAGCTGCTGCCAGGAGGAGCGATCCTCTGTTCCAGCACCAGCCCTGTCCTCCAGCCAGCACCAACTTGCATTAATCCTGTGCACTATAAGAGCTCTGCTTTTGTTGGGCTTGACCAAGGATTTCAAAAGCTATTGGCGATTAAGGGGAAGGAAGCAAAGGGAGGGAGGAGCTATGTACGGGCAGGCTGCTTGTCTAGCCTGGTTTCATTGGAAGGAGAACTGAGAAAAGGATTTGAGGGTGACTAAGTACAAGGAAGAAAGCAATGAACAGGATTTGATGGCCATTTTGTGTGATGTGAGAGCACAATGTAATTTCTCCTGGGTGCACTCTGGGAGAAAATCTTTCATGTCCTTTTTTTTCTTTATTTTTGGTGGGAATATTCTTCCTGTTCTGTGACACAGGGGTTCCCTCTTTCCTGTGGTTTCACTGTTTGTATTTAACTGAGAGAATATACCAAGAAATAAATTTTCCTTTGAAACCTGTGTGGTCTCATTTTTAGTGCTGAGAATAATGTTGATTATTCAGCTCTCCAGTGATGCAGTTGGGGATGGGCAGCTGGCAGTCTTGGGTTCTTTCTCAGCGCCATGCTCAGAGGTTGGGTAGGTTCTTGATTTGGTTTAACTTACTTAGTGATCTGATACCTTCAGCAGCCTCCTGCTTCTTGTGAACTTGAAGCTGCTTCTGCCCGTGAAGTGTCTTTGACAAGTGTTTTTCTCTGCTTTTTCTGTTCTGCTTCAGTGACTCTGAACCTAGGAAATGGCAGTGATGGGAATTACGTGCCAGGGAGCTCCTGATCCAGCCATCAAGCACAAGAAGGAGCTCATGGCTACCAAGGGGCTGAATGAGACAGTGAGTGAAAAGCAGAGCAGTGTTTGCAAAGTAGAAGAGTCAAAGAAGGTCATCTTCCACAGTCAGTGGAAAATCCTGAATGATGTAATCACCAAAGGAACAGCAAAAGAAGAAACAGGAGGAGGATGTGCATCAATTTCTATTATTGCCCAAGCAGAATGTAAGTAGGAGGGCAGTCTGCTCTTCATTGAGGAAAAGGAATGTGTAATGCAATATGAGATTTCACTCACTTTGCACTCTTGGAGAGCTGAGATGAAGTCTATTTGTAATCCCAAGTAGGGTGGAGTAGGTGACACATCCCAGTCTCTATTTAGGAAGCTCATGAAATCTCCTAATAATGTGATAGCGTCCACTTAATAAAACATAAATAACAGAGTAGTGTGAGGCCACTGCACCAAGCTACTTTGAGTATACGTCAGTGTCCTGCTGGGTCATCTGTCCTTGGCTGACTTCTGAGAGGTGTTTTAAAAAAGGGGGGGGGGAAAAGAAGAAAAACAAAACTGTCAGGTGGGAAAGAGTTGAAGGATCAGGAGATCACACTGCTGGGAAGCTAAACAGTGCTGGGGGAGGAAGGATGTAGTGTTGATGGTGTGGCATGACTCTGTGGTGATTTGTCTGGAGCACTGATTTAGCAAGTTGGTAGGATTGTTTCTTAGTGCAGTTGTTACTAGGAGACTTTGCCTGGCATTGAAGACACAATGATCCTGTTTTCTTTCACACAGGTGAAAACAGTCAGGAGTTCAGCCCCACTTTATCAGAGAGATCCTTTATTGCTCATAGTAAGCGTTACAGGTGAGAGACCTCTTAACATGAATACCCAGTTTTACTGCTGTGTTCGCTGACTGGTTTCAAATCATGCCAGCAATGTGTGCTTACAGTATGTCTTTCCAAAAGCACTTTGTTTGAATGAGCTTTTCTCTCTGAGGCTCAGGAAGAGGGTATCTTTCCTAAACACCTTCCTCAAAACCTTTTTGTGGTAGGAGAAAGCATAAGTTTAAGCACAAGCTTTGCAGTGTCTTATTGTCAATGCTTGCTGGTTTACTGGCCCTTGTAGTCTTCTACCTCTATTTCTGGGTGGTCAGATGTGTTTTGAAGTGACTGAGTGATTTTTTTTTTTTGAGGTTCATGGGCTTGAAATTGAAGGACCCAAGGGAAAATTCTCAGTCTTTAACTGAACTGTCCCGGTGCTTTTGGAACCAGGTTACACCATTGTCTTTGAGAGCTGTGGGAAACTTGGGCTGCTGCCAGAAGTAGTCCTGAGAAAAAGGAACTGCTTCTGGGGAGGGTAAATAAAAGGGGCTGAGAAAAGAACCTTTGTTTAATGACAGCATCAGAAATAGAGTTGTGAAGAGAAGCTAGAAGTGGTAAAGGGGGAGTAAAAGTTGTGATGGAAAAATGGTGGCCTGGAACTTGCATTTGTGGGAGCGAGCCACTTCTTCAGGGAGAGCTTGTGCTGTTGGGGCACATACTGGAGCTTTCTTAAGATGCTCCAGCACTCTTGAGTGGCTGACTGGGATATTAGAAGGCAAAATGTGATGTTCTAGCTCTCTATTCTTTAAATCTCAGAAGGCAGAATTGCTAATTCTTGTTCTGTGGGTCAGAGTTATTAACTGGAGGTGTACTTTCACCATCAGATCTAAGAGCCTTCATGCCTTTTGGTTTCCAGTAGCCGCTCAGACAGTCTTGATCAAATCCCTAACAATGTGGCCCATGCAAGGGAAGGAAAGATGGCACCTACCTGCTGGAGGGGGAGGCAGCGTGGGAAGACGAGAAGGAAACGTCACAAGAAAAGATCCAAGCTGAAAATACAAACAGTGGCTGCTGGCAAGCGAGGTCCCAGGACTCCAGAGCAAGAGAGCTGCACTCCAATTCCTGTCCAGGTGAGAATCCTTAAGCCTTCCTTTTGTACTGTTGAGACCCCTGCAAGTTCCTAGCAGGTCTTAGTTGAATTTTGGGTGGCTGTATTGAGGTTCCTGCTCAGCTCTGTTGTTTGGTTTTATTTTCTAGGAGGATGAATCACACCAAAATCTTCTTTACAGAAACAGTTTTTGGGTTTCAGAATTTAACAAGGACTCTATGCGCTATGATCCGTTGTCTTTTGAGAAACCTGAGAAAGTTCTGTCTACAGGCAAACTCCACGCTGCAAGGAGCCAGTACAAAGCAGAACTGCACAAGTTGATTAGCCCTATTCAGTGTCTTAATCATGTTTGGAAACGGCACTATCAGAGGGACAGTGTTCCACAGCCTGAAACACTTCATCCTTTTCCCTACAACCTAATACCCCCTCACTTCCCACATCTGGACAGTTCTCTCCATGCCATGAAATATAATGCTCTGGAGACATACTTTCATGGTGATCTCAACTATCAAGACGGTGAGCATCAACTATCTGGCCTAAACTTAGAATATAGTTTCTCCAAATGCATCAACCAGTCCATGAAAACCAGCTCAGACAAGATTTCTGTGGAGGAATACTTGGTGGATGCCTTGAAGGGGAGCGTGAGTCTTGGTGAACCACAGAATTTAGCCAGCCTAGCCAAGACGTGGAGAGGAGGTGGTCTGGACCTGAAGGAACAACTTCATGAAGCAGATGAAAATGAAGGCGTGCTACTTACTGAGGTGATCTGACCCTACACACTAGTGTGGTGGAAGGCAGAGCTTCTCCTGGGTTTCAGAAGGGAGAGAGTCTGCATCCATGTGCTAGCTTCTGTAACAATACTGAGTTTTCTGAATGGTTCTTGAGATGGTGGAGAACTGCCAGTTAAAGATGTGCTTCTGGTTTTTGAAGGATATAAAGCCCTGTCTTAGACTGGTGGCCCTAATTTGTTTGCTCATTCACAAAATATTCATGCTTGTCTATGGAAGTGTTTCTGTGCTTAGTCTTCAGAGAGGTCTTCTCTGTTTCTCTGTGAAAGAACCTGATCTATTCAGGTGAACAGGCTGCAATATTTCATTGACTATAGGTAACCTGGACTGTCACACAGACAGAAACCGGGGACATGGAGATTGTAAAGGTGTAAAAAGCATGTCTGTTGACTGTGGCAGGAAGCCAGCAACTCACCTGCTGTCCCTTTCCAAGCGCAGGGCTTGTGCCTATCACATGCATGTAAATCTTAGAGGCATTATTTATTTCTTCTGAATTCAGTTCTGTCTTGGCACCTTCAACTCCTCTTAGAGGTCTCTTTGCAATCAGTGACACCCTGTCAGTATTGTCAGTGAAGTTCAGGGTGTCACTCACACTGAGACCTAAGGCATGATCTCAGTCTACTGGCTATAAAAAAGGTTTAGCTCACACACAGATGTGTACGTTTAGTCAATCTTGTTTTGCTCATTGGATTTAGCTTTGTAGTTATGTCCTGCATGTGAAGGGAATAGTTTGGCCCTTCAAAGCTGTCCAGATACTGGTGGGCTTTCTTTACATTAATGGTGTGGACTCATTTAAATCAGACAGCCCACAGAAATCAAATAGTTTCTCCTATCTCATCTCAAGCCCGTGACAGAAGTAATTTTGACAGGGATTTTTTAAGAGGTGCAGTTGTATCTTCTCCTGAGAATGTTGGTCTTTGTGGACCATCAGGATTGAACTGTTCCTTTCCTTGCTTCATCTTGTTTTCTGATTTTCAGAAACTAAATCATCTTGATTTCTGATTTCCAGAGACTAAAGCCAGTGGATTATGAGTACCGAGAAGAGGTTCATTGGACCAAATGTCATGGTTCTTTGGGCATTGGCTCTTTTGGAGAAGTGTATAAAATAGAGGACAAACAGACAGGCTTTCAGTGTGCTGCCAAAAAGGTAATTATGCGTGAGAAAGCAGGGGGGGTCCTGACACAAGAAGGCTTGTGGAGAAAACATCTTCTCCTTCCAGCTGGCATAGACTGAAGGTAGTTTATTATACAGTCACTGTGAAATGCTGCTGTGGTTCTGTCCAAGTTAAAACTGATGGTGTGGAGAGAAGCAGCAGTTGGAGAGCTTGTATGTGCACAGGGTGGGGGTCAAGCTTGGCAGCCAGAAATGGTTCATTTGGCCTTCAGAGTGTGCTGCAGGAGATATGGGGTTGTGTGCTGAGACATGCCAAGAGAGTCCAGCTTTCAGAAAAATTGGAAGTGTGTTCCTAGTGACTGGGGGGGAGAATCAGCTGTGGGAGCTGTTTGCTTATCTAGCTGTTCCCATCTAAAAACATGTCTAGTGTAAATGGTGACATGGCAGGTACTTTTTTGTTGAAAAAGGGATAAAGTAGGACAAAATAAGGCAGTTGGTAGGCACTTAAATTTGAGAGAGCTTTCATCTGTTCACTAAGTGTCATATGCAATACTGCATATTATAATGAGGTGATTCTGTTCTAGATGCAGCAGAAGATGTGTATTTTTCCAAAAGTTGGTATAATAAATCTATTGTGCACCAAGATATGCAATTGTCCTACCATGTGCGAAGCATATGGAACATAACTGTAGTCAGGGTATTGGTTTGTAGGCATCCATGGAGTGCCTCAGAGGTGAAGGCAGAGTGATAATGCAAGTAGATGATGAGAAAGTAAACTACTCGGTTTGAACTTAACACTTGAATAGTTTCACCACTTCTGTGACCTGATGGTTCTCACATTACTCCAGTAGAAAACTTCAAGAGGTGTTGGAAGTGTTTGTCTCTAGTACGAAAATGTTAAATGCAAAAAGAATCGGAACTTGAGTTTTTCAGTTTAAAATGTTTGCTTTTTCTTGCTTGCATCTGGGCTCAGCTTGCTGCATTGCATGTGGAAAGGTAGAAGTGGCAAGACGAAGCCAGCTTTTCCAGTATTTTAACCATTTCATTTGCCAACTGTATAGAAGCAAACACATTTAAAGCATACCTATTTATTTCATATTCTGCATCCTCGTGTTTTAGATGTGGGGTTTTGTGGCAACATGACCAGCTTGTTTTCTGACAGGATGTAACTACTTATATTTCTTATCTATTTTTCCAAATACATTCTTAGGAGAAATACCTGTGTTTTCAGTAATGAGGAGTGGTTTTATTTTAATGGAGCAGCTATCTTCAGTTCCTACTATGAGCCTCTTTTAGAAGGGGACTACCTGACCTTCTTTCACCATTCTTGGTGTTATAAGCACCTGCTCTCCAGATTAAAGAAAACTAGCTAGAGCTGGATTGCTGACAGGAAATGTGATCCATCCTTTCCCCAACAGAATTATAGTTCCGTTGGGAACAGGCTCATGTTTTCCTTCTGGGTTTTAGCAAATTTTTGATTTATTTTGTTTTGGTAAACTTAGCGACTAGAGTTTTTCTTTAACCATTTTTCTGTGCAGGCTGAAAAGGTGATAGTGTGGATCACTGCTTGTGGCCATATTTCAGACTCCCTCCTGGTTTGGGGGAGGTTTATATTTGCCAAGTATTGCACTATCCTTAATATTTTTTCCTCTTTCATGAAAGCAGAGTGCTGCAGTTGTCAGTATTGTCTTTTGAACTGAGACAGAAATTACCTTCTGAAGTTACCAGCTACAAGCTGAAGGTATTGTAACCTGGCATCTTTTCTGACAAATCTTCACTCAGATGCTGAGGATTTAGGGACTTGCATTGTCCTTGTTCAGAATCATTCTGAGTGTTCCCACATATTGTTGTAGCCACTGATTTCCGTTAATGAAGGTCATCCTTCTGCCTCTGTTCTTGGACAGTGCAGGACACTCTGACTCGAGCATCTGAGGGACAGCTCAGTTGGGATTCAACACAGAATCTGTTCAGTGCTGCTTCTTTGTTTTTGTAGGTACAAGTTGAACACTTCCGTGCAGAGGAGCTAACAACATGTGCTGCAGTAACAAGTCCTAAAGTTGTCCCCTTGTATGGAGCTGTGAAGGAAGGACCATGGGTGACCATCTTCATGAAGCTGATGGAGGGTAAGAAAGGAGCAACCACAGTGGAAGTCCCATTGTAACCACTGAATGCAGCAGACATTGTTCTCCCCTTCTTTCTGCCCCAGTTTTAAATCTGTTAATTCTTTGATGTACCCAGAGTATCCCTAGTGTTCATTCCTGAATAAAATTGGGATAGGTATAGTGTAATCCTTGCTGGTATGTGGCATTGGTCTTTCTGGAGGGAGAAAAATTCCCAGTCCTGCCTCACTGCAGTACAAGATGTGCATCCCTTGACCAGCAGCTGCAAGTTCTCACTGAAACACATCGCAGGTGCTGGTTCTTGCGTTCATGTTTGTTTGCATGGCACCATGTAAAGCACATTGTACTGGAAAAGGGGATTCTGTATAAGCAAACCTCAGTGCTGCTGTTGCCTGATCCTCTTTTTCTAACAAGGACCATGGAAAATAGAGCCTGTGAAGAACTGGCTGGTGATCAGAGGCACCTAGAAATGTCTGATCTGCTCACAGAGTAGTTGCTTTCGATACAAAGCAACACCATTAAACTGACGCTAAGCAAAAGGCTCCATGGAAGAGGCCAGTTTCTGTGGGCAGTAAGAACTCTGGGAATAACTAAAAGGAGCAGGCCCAAGTGTAGAAGATAGGGGCTGTCAGACCTGACAGTTCTTCTTTCTTCATCAGAAACCATGAGGAGTGCTGATGATGCTGGGAAGAATTTAAAGATAAGCTAACATGGACTCTCTGGATTCCTTTCTAGGTGGCTCACTAGGTCAGCTAATTAAACAGAGTGGCTGTCTGCCAGAGGACAGAGCCCTCAGTTATTTGGGCCAGGCATTAGAAGGCTTGGAGTATCTTCATGCTCAAAACATTCTCCATGGAGATGTAAAAGGTAGGCTGGTACTTAAGGTACCCTGTTCTTCCCTATTTCTTGTTAGAGGCAAACTGCTTAGAGGTTAGATTTCTGTGTGGCTAAAGGTTATTTACCAGTTTTTCAGCTCTACATTTGAGGCCAGAGCTTAACTTGGTTCTAAACAGCTGAACATACCATATTTGTCACCTCTTTCTATCATCCAGTGGGTCTGACAGGCTGTTTGCCCAGGCTGCCCACCACTGGGTAGGATTTCCAGGGCAGATAATTATAGCTGTGTACTTGCTTAAGACAGTGGTGCTTCCTAGGAGTAACAGACTTTGGTTAAGGCTAAAAACCCTGTACTTCTGTGGGCTTTTGTGCTTTTTTTCCCATCTCAGTGACCATAATACAAAGGAGACTAATTCAAAGCTTCTCTTGCCAGCGGAAAATGTGCTCTTGTCTGATGATGGAAGCAGGGCTCTTCTGTGCGACTTTGGCCACTCCGCTCACCTCCATCCAGATGGCCTGGGAAAGTGCTTGGTCACAGGTAAGGATTTTCTGCTGTGATTGTAAAGAATTGCTCTGCTGACTCATTCTTTCTTCTTTGAACATTTACATTTGCAAGCAGCTGTATTTTCCAGACTTAGTTTTGCTCATGGTGTCACATTCCTTGATCTTACTGCAATGTATCCCACTGACAGCTAAAATGAACTTCAGGGTTGGAAGATGGTCCTTATCTGCCAGTCTAGAAATCTGTTGTGGGGTTTTGTCAGCATACTGTGTGCTGTGTTCTGTCGCTTCAAGAGGCCACACTGAAACTTAAAAATCTAACTCTGACTTGTGATGTAACCTCACTGAACAGCTGGGGAAGGATCCTAAAGCAAAATTCCTTGCTGATTTTTGGGCAGTTAAGCTTTACAGTGCTGCTTAATGCAGCCCTTGAAAGAGAAGGATGTTTTCTTACACCAGTAAAGCATCATGTTTCCCCTCCCAGATTGGCTTGGAAGGGGAAATTAATACCTATTCTGTGTGTAAGGGATAGGACTGATACGGAAATGTAGCCTATAAGCTTATAAGAGCACACAGCACTTCTTTTAGGGTTAAGATGACTTATTTCTCATTTTAACTGGAAAGACAAGGAGGCTGCCTTAGGCTTCCCAGCAGTTGCATTAGACCAATTCTCTAGTTTCCATGCAGTGAGTTTCATTTGAATTGTTTTAGGGAACTATGTGCCTGGCACAGAGACTCATATGGCTCCGGAGGTGGTCATGGGAAAGCGGTGTGATTCCAAAGTGGATGTCTGGAGCAGTTGCTGTATGATGCTGCATATGCTTAATGGGTGCCACCCTTGGACCCAGTATTACAATCACCCACTCTGTCTAAAGGTAAGTGACCCAAGTTATCTTCAGTAACAGGTACATATGCTTGCAGATTCTCATGATATGTAGGTAGAGAGCTGTTGTTTCAGGAAGGCTGGCTGAGAGCCAGCTGGGCATCTAAACGATGCCAACCTTGCTTTGAAAGCTGATAATTTCTAACGCTTCTTCAACTGTTGGGTATTACACATGCTAGGGCTGTTTCTTTCATATCCTGCTCATGACTTGGGTTGACTTTTTAGCCATTCACCTATAATAAACTTACTGCTCAGATCTCTTGTTTAATGCTGTCATTTCAGTTGGAAATGCTTTCAGGGTGGGAAGAACCTTTCTGAAATCAAACAAAGCTTCTCTGGTCTAACCTCTTTCACTTCCTGTTTGTTACACAGATAGCTAAAGAGCCACCTCCTCTGAGGGAAATTCCGCCTTCCTGCAACCCTCTCACTGCTGAGATTATTAAAATGGGCCTGGAGAAAGAGCCTGTTCAGAGAGCATCTGCATCTGAACTGAAAACAAAAACCAGTATCGCACTTGAAGAAGGTAGAAATGTCCTGTATCTAAAGCTTCTTATCCACACTGGTACAGTAGCCAGTTGCTAGTTATGTCAGAGTGGCCCTATGGAAAATGTCAGTGTGTTTTACTGTTCAGGATATCATTTGCACAGGCTTCAGCATTGATGGATATTTTGGGGTTCATGGCTTTTGCCCACAGCCAGGTGTTTCTCACCCAAAATTCCCTGTGTGCTGTCACCTGCTCTTGCTTCTCTGCTTGAAGCAGCCAATATTCTGCTCCATGTGGGTTTATTAAGGTGTGTGCTGTGGCTGGGCTCATGTTCAGCTGAAGTATCACCCACTGAGCTGGAGCCTGGTATGAAGCAAAACTGAAAGCAGGGGTTTATTGCATCCTGAACTGTAACTCCTACTTGTGCTCTGGTCTTGCCTCTAAGACTATCCATCGTTTATTTCAAGTTAATCCTGCTGTAAGGTTCTGTAATACAGCAAGAATTTGTAGAGGTGGTTTGGTTTTGTCTTTTGAAGACACTGCATATTTTACAGCACGATGCAGTTCAGAAACTCTTCATGTAAAGGAAAACGTTTACCTCTTTTGTTTTGTCTTTAGTTTATAATGTTTGTGTGCTTTTTTGCTTTTTGCAGTGGGAGGTGTGACAAGCCCCTGGAGAGGTGAATACAGGGAGCCTAGGCATTTATCTCTGAACAAAGAAAACACTCCCCAGACATCCCTGTCCCCTACAGTGAGCTCGGTTTCTGAGACTGGTTCTGACCCAAGATTGGCAGTCAAAGTTTCTTGTGTCCTACCACCACCATCTCTGGAGCAAACGGAGGAGGTTGAGGGAACACCTTGGAATGTGTGCATAGGAACACCTGAGGCCTGGGATCCTCTGCCTCTTGCCTCAGCTCCTCTCCCCCTGAAGAGCTGCAGCCATGTGGAGAGAGCAACAACCATTTCAGAGCAAGAGCTTCAGCAGCTAGAAATAGGTAAGCAATGGGCTAGGGAGGGAGTTCAGCTTTTTTAGCATGATCAAAATACAGCTGCTTTTTATTGGCCTCTTGACAGTTATTTCTGGGGTTTGAGCTTGAATGTCATTTTTGGTCATAATTCCTCTCTCATTACACAGGTTGCTCAGCCTTCCGTTGAAGCACCCAAAGTTAGTAGTTCTTAACCAGTTAAATATGCCACAAAGGTAGTGATCAGGATTTCCTTCTACTCTCTGAACAGTGAGGGGAACTTCTGTGAGAGGTGCAAGAACCTCAGAAAACCACCAGTGTCAGACTTGTGCTTTTGTGCACCATCTAAGTGGGGTCTGCATTCCAACTCCATCTGAAATTTTAGGTTTCCAAACATTATTCTTTTGATAAAAGGATAAACCTATTGGATGGGAGATGTCAAATGAAGTAGTATAGTTAAAATCAGTCTGCAACTGTTTTGTTGCACTGGAAAACTTAGAGCCACCAGCCAATGAATTTGATTACCAGCAGCAAACCAGAACTGGAAAACCTGCAGTTTGGAAATGAGGGAAGGAACATTCCGGTTCCATTGCGCCAGTGTGACTCAACCTTTTCATTTTTTTAATTCCATGTTTTCTAGTCTTTGGAAATTAATTGAAAACTTCAAGATAGGAAAAAAGTGTCTTGAAATGTAACTTGTCATGGACCTGAGGAATGGCATTCTAGGGGATTGCCGAGGATTGGCTTTTGTCTCAAATGGCTTTGGATCTTCAGTAGCCTTGTAAGGTCTGGATATTATCTGTGCAAGTTATCACAGGAGTTGAATACAGAAGTTTGACCTTTCTTTGGGTATAATGTGGATGAATCTAGAGTGAAGATTCATAAGTAACATAATAGGCAAGAAATAGGAAATCCTTGGCACTAGTGCTGCCTCTGTTTCGTTTTGCAAGTCGTTGGCACAATTCATTTTTCCTTTCTGGCTCAGTTTCCACAGTGGTGGCCATAGCCTCTGCTTAGCAGAGGAATTGTGTGCCATGTATTTTGTGAACACCAGTATCAACATTCATTAAATAATGCTGAAGAAGCTTTGGGTAGTAATTGCAGTAATTTTAATTAGAGGAGGGAGGCAGGAAAGGAAACAATAGAAATGTCTTCTTCCTCTTTCCTTTTGCTTGCAGAACTGTTTTTGGACAGCCTTTCACAACCTTACTCTCTGGAAGAGCAAGAACAAATGCTTTCATGTCTCAGCATTGACAGCCCGTTTGTGTCAGATGCCAGTGAGAAGGTGTGTGTAGGTGGATGCTAAGGGGGCTGGGGTGGCAGGGTAACCATCTCTGGTTTACGGGGAGCTCTGACCAGTACACATCTGAGTTTCTCATGTTTGTTGCTGCTTTTTGACACCGAATTTGCTGTAGAGTGCCTTGGGAAGAAACCTTTGTCCTTGGACAATTGGGTGTTTAGGATTGTGGTTGTTCCACTGGTTTACTGTTCAGCATGGATCCCTTTCCTCCAGTTGTTCTCCTGTGCTGTTCCTTCAACAGGAAGTGTTGAGTGTGTGGATATGGAAAGATCTCAGGAGCTTTGACCCTCTCTATGCAGAAATAGGGAACTGAAGAAGCAGTGATGAACTTGGACCAGATAGCTGTGCAGTCCAGGGTCCAAGGATGTTTAGGGGGTAAGACCAGAAGAATAGGGCAGATGAACAGGGACCCTGATCCTGGGTATTCATTTCCAGCCTAGGGATCTGTTCTGTTCTTCATAAACTTCTTTTAACCCATTCATACTGGTGACTTACATAATCAAAGTTACTTAAATACTAAGTGTAATTGCTTTTGTTTGCTCTATCTCTGGTGTTCATAAGGTAGGGAATACCAGAGGAACACTGAATAAGGTCCAGGGAAGGACCTAAGCCCTTCAGTCATTGTTTTCAAAGGCAGAGTCCACAGTTGTGTAGCCTGCCATCTACAGGAGTCATTTCTGCCTGTGACCATATCTGTCTCCTATTTCTGTTCCTCTTCTCAGCTTTCTAATGCTTTTTGAGGAGGATTGAGCAGAGTCATGTCCAGTAGTTCAGCTTTGACACAGCATGCTGTGTGCAGCTGGGATGTGACTCTGGCTTGCTTTGATTCTGTGTTTGGTTTTATTTTCCCCCAAATACCCAACCCCAATATTTAATTCGACTTTTTTCTGGTACTCACACTCTGCTGATGATGTCAGATTGACCTCTGGTGACTTGAGGGTAATACAGACTTTTCCAAGTTGTCTAGCAGTGTAGGATCCAGAGTTGTTTATGTACAGTTCACTATTCTTCCTGTGTGTTACTTGGCACTTACTGACATTAGAAATCTATCTCACACTTCATTCTGTCATTCAGTGAGCTAAACCCCTGTTTTCTCATCCAACTCTTCCACTGGTTATTGATTTGCCTATCGAGTATATCTTAGTATGTCTGCAAAATGTTTCATTGCTCTTCATGTCCTTTTCCACATGGCACGTAAATGTTGACTAACTCAAGGCCTGGCCTTAGATCCCTGTGGATTCCTACTTTTTTTCTTCCTGAGGTGATTTTAACGTTTATCTCATACAAACTCATTTTCTTTAGGAGCCTTTGCCAAACTTATGCTTACTTCTGCAGAACTCCATAAAGGCCTGTCACAGCTTGAGGGACACTATGAGCTCTGGGATTCATTCCTGGAACAGCCAGGCAGATGGACAGAGCTTCAGCTGGAATAACCTGTGGAGCCGCAGTCGGCACACAGACACTCCCAGCTATTTCAATGGTGAGTCTCAAGTGCTACGTTTTGATCAGGGAGAACTTCCTCAGTGTCTAGAGGGTCTGGGGTCTTGGAGCGCTTCTTATCCTTCAGTTGGAGGCCAGCTCTGCCCCAGTGATGAATGGGTGGAAGGCACTTGAGTCTGTATAGTCTAAGAAAAGCCAGAAAAGTTCCTGTCTCAGCTTTGTATGCCCTGCCTTGTGCAGCTGCCATGTGCAAGAATGTGTTTTATAACCATAAATGTCTAGAAAGTACTTTTGAGGGCATGTTGTGTGAATCAATACATCTCTTCAGCTGCTTTCTTGCTAAATCCAGCCCTGCCCTGTGAGTCACTGCTGTCTTCAGCAAGACTCCATGCTCAGCAGAAGACCTACCTAAATTAAACGCTTAAAGACAAAACTGAGTTTTGATATGTGTGCCTTGCTAGTCAAGTTTTCTGTGTTGGACTGAGAAGTCATTATGCCTACAGAAGTTAATGACTTCTCTTGCACGTTTCAGGAGTGAAAATCCAGATCCAGTTGCTAAGTGGAGAAAATTTACACATCAGGGATTTCCACAGGACAAAGGTGGGAGACATTGCCACTGGGATAAGCAGCCAGGTGAGACCCAACGCAGATTCATAATGCCTTTAAACAGTGACCCTGAAGTCCATTTGAGGACCCTAATGACACATTTAGTAGTGTAATTTCAGTGCTGCTGTTAGGAATGTGATTCCCAAAGGTGTTTTCTGAATCACAAACAGTTGCTAATTGTCAGAGGGACCACAGTGATCTCCATCTCAGAAGGTACCTGTGCTGCAGCTTATAGTCCTCGACTGTAAAGATAAATTCTTTCCCCTCTCCCTGTAGAAGAATCACTATATGACTTTTTCATCAAGAGCAATAATATCAGCTAAGGGAGATGGGCTGTGTTTGGCTGTGATGCTTCTAACTTGTTAGGTAGGAGGAGATATTGGCAGACTACAGTGAACCTCACTGTTGGCCTCTTTGGCAGTCCCTGAAAGAACCTCTAAGTGTTTGTGGGACTGTGACTTATCTGAGTGCAAAATGTGGTGAACGTCTCTAAACAAAGAGGTTGCAGAAGTCCAGAAAATGTTTCAGTGGTGCTGATTGTCTTTGGCATACATTGTTCTCTTGGACATCACAGAGCCTGCAGAGGAATTCACCGTGCCCGAGCATAGGCAGTTCAGGAACCACCAGCACTGGTCAGAAACTTATGTGAGACAATTTGGTGTGGGGTGAATGAATGCTACCTAGTCCAGTTTCTGAGATACTTTCTTAGGAGAGAACGTTTGGATGTTCCTGCCAAGAACAGGCCTTTCTCCAGGAAGTTTTGGGGTTTTTTTTGATTGGGAAGTTCTTTGCTGTGTTTGGTAGAGGGATATCATGTTCTGAAAGAGACTTGAAATACCACTCAAATCTGTCTGTTCTGTTTCACAGATACCAGTCCCTGCTTTCAGTCTGGTTACTAAAGAAGGCCAGCCAGTTCACTACAATATGGAGGTCCCCGACTCTGGTATTGAGCTGCAGTGCACCCTTGCACCTGACTGCAGTGTCAGCTGGACATGGCGAGTCAAGCATGGTCAACTGGAGAACAGGCCATGAGCTGTTCCTGTTTTGGAGGTTTTTACCTTGTTGAAAGAAGGAATTGCAAAAGGTTCCGACCACCACCCCTGCCGTGGAGCACCAAGTGCAGTTGCTGGTGTTTTGTGCTGAAGTAGAATAGCGGCTCAGCAGCTCACTGCTCTCGAGCCTCACTTCTATTGTCTGTTCTGACCCAGTTCCAAGACATGTCCTGAACTTAGGTGTTCCCCAGAACAGCGGGAATTACTTGTTTTGGGTGTGTTAGGTTGAGCTTGAGAATGGTGGGTGGAAATTCCTGCTTTTCAGAGGAATTCGATTGTGCTTTTCAGGAGTAGAGGGGGATTGGATGAGAACTCCTGTTGCTCAGCCTCCGAGGTGAAGCCAGTAGCTGCTGGGCTTGCCCAAAGGAGGAGGTTGGGTGTCTTCAGTGTAGTTGATCGTGCCAGGGGGAGCTGGCTATCTTCACTCTAGCTGGAGGAAAAACTCAGTGTTTCTGTTGGCTTTGGGTAGCATCATCTCTACCTCAAGCCTTTTGCATGAGGAAAATCAACAGCAGTAACTGGCTGGGTTCTTGGTTTCACCTCCCATCCTTTCCCACAGACACTTCCTTCTTGAATCAGAAAAGAACTATCTTCCTAGAAAGAGCTCTGCTTGCAGCTCTCACCTTCAGGCTTCCTCCCTGGCTTAGGAGCTGGTGCCCTCTGTGTTGCTTCCAACTCTGGCAGGTAGGGCAGGAGGAAGGTGTGGTATTCCTTGGTGGGAAGGGTGGAGGGGTTGTATTCCTCCATCCTCTTTCCACCACTGACTTGGGACTCATCGTGGACTGTCCCATGCAGGCAGCTCCCCCTGGAAGGGGAAAGGGATGGCAGGCCCCCCAGCCCAGACAAGGGCTGACTTTGTCTACAGCATTTATAAAAACCTCACTCCCAGCTATCACCCCATCCATCCACTCAGCCCCAGGATGGGAGGTCAGTGTCCCACATGTGCATGGTGTGAGCTCAGCCTGCCCTCACCAGCACTCAGGGACTGGCACGAGTCCTCCTATCACTGCCATTATTGCAAGACTTGCTCATGGAGTGGGGTGGGCAGCTGGGCCCAGGATGCCTTAAGCTTTCAACTGTTTTTTTCCTGATGTGTCAATTGTTATGAGTGTACTGAAGCAGCATGGGTCCCATTCTGACGGGCTGGTGATGCTAAGCCTCCTGTAAGCCAGAACAAAGGCAGAGGGAGGTGTAAGCTAGGGTATATTTATTCAGGACTGCTCAAAGCCCTTACACACCTGGAAATCACTTGACAGGGTGCTGTTGCTCTTCCAGAGTGTTGTAACTGCAGTGGCCTCTGAGCAGGGGCTATCTACATCCAGGCTGAGCAGAGAAACTGCTCACAGAAAGCAAGGTAGGCTCTGACAGATCCATGCTGGCTCTGGGGGTACAACAGGACAGGAATGTTGGCAGTTTCCTCAAGTGAAGTTCACTTAGGAAATAGCTGGGAAAGTTACACCCTGGACGTCCCTTTCTGAGGAGCAATGCTCCTTTAGGAACTGATACTCGTTTCCTTTGGTCTCCCAGGGCATGGGCTGGTTTCGATAAACTTGGTAGTCACATCCCTCATCAAAAACTAAAGTTGTGATCTAATAAAAAAGTGGAACTCTTGAGGAAAAATGGAACCTGTCACCACTCTGGGTACAGTTTTTATAGCACTTTTTGTTCTTAGCACTTAATACATTGGCCAGAATAGGCATCTGATTATATCTGTAATGCCACATGAAGAGTCTTTTTAGTAAACAACACACTATGCACATGTCTTCCAGGAAGGAGTAGGGGGGGAGGGGGTAGGTTGGCTTCATTGCTGTTTCTCAGATGCCATAAGCTACTAAGCAGGAGGATCAAAATGCCCCTCCAGGTCTCCCAGGAGCTCCCAAGCACATACTCAGTGCAGTGATCAAACTCCCCACACCTGGCACCCTTCCTGGGCTTCCTGTGAGGCAGGGAGGAGAAAAACCTGTTGGTTGTTTCTAAGAGTCGTTGGTGATGTGTCAATCTGAAACATGAAAGCAGGGTCTGTCCCCTTCCCAAAGGCTGCATCTCATGGCTTTCACTGTAAAGTGCTTCGATGTACAGTTGTTTCGTACATGGGTGTGAGACTCAAGTTCTGCCAAGCTGTAGGGCAGGATGCAGCAGCCCTCTGTTCCCAGGAATTCTGAGTTTCACACTTCATCTATAGCATTAACATTAATATCAGGCCACCTACACGAATGCAGGAAGGGCAGTGAACTCTCGTGAACCCACAGTGCCTTCATTGAGTAGATGGAGACGTCTGTGTTCTGTACCCTCACATCAGTATTAGCCAGTATCTCCATCCTGTTTGTTTTGTCCAAAACCTCCAGTCCTGTGTTGCTGCCACCTCAGGCAAGAAAGTGAGGCTGCAGACTTCCACCTCGCCCATCTTGTACAAGACTAGCTGTGGCATCAGCAGGCACTGCCAGGTGGGAAAGACTCTGGCTAATACCACAAACCACTGGTGCTTTCTTACTGTCCTGAATGTGGCTCTCTCGGGAGGAGCTCCATGGTTTGCATGGTTTTACTGCCAGCTTGAGATCTCAACATTCTGCTGCTGCCAGGACAGTTCCCTCTTCATTTGACTGGTCATTTTTGCTGTGACAGGCATAAAAGGTCCAGCTTCCAGATGAAGGCTGGCTGTGCAATGCTGACAGGAGACAATCAGGGAAGCCTTTGGTTATCCACATTAAAACTTGTCTGAAAGTGTATATAATAACAAGTTGTCTTTGGGACAGAACCCCAGGTCAGGGTACAGAGGACAAGTAACAGTAGAAGTCACAGAAGCAGGTGGCTTTTGTTGTGTTGCTCCTTCCAAAGGTCTGGAAAAATCACTGTTGGAAAGCAGTATGGAGCTGATCACCTCTTTGGGATGGGCAGTACTGGTGAGGGTGATGGAATAATGAGCTTGTGGTGAACGAACGACACTTTATAAAACTGTGATTTCTTGAACATTTGTGACGTGTATTTTCACAGGGAAAAAGAAATAAAGCTGGACAAAAATATTCTTCATTCTCATTGCTTATGGTTGAAACCTTGTCCCAGAGAGCTCCTGAGTAATACATGTGTTAAGAAGGGAAGCCTGGTCTGATTGAACTCTGCTGTGTATTACCTTTGGGTTTAGAAGTCATTTCTGGGTGGGGAGAGTCAGCAATAACTTTGATGAATCTAAGCACCAGATTTCATAGAATTGTGGAATCCTAGATTGGTTTGGGCTGGCAGGGACCTTAAAGCTCATCCAGTTAGAACCCCTGCCACGGGCAGGGACCCCTTCCACTGGAGCAGCTTGCTCCAAGCCCCTGTGTCCAACCCGGCCTTGAGCACTGCCAGGGATGGGGCAGCCACAGCTTCTCTGGGCACCCTGTGCCAGCGCCTCAGCACCCTCACAGGGAAGAGCTTCTGCCTAAGAGCTCAGCTCAGTCTCCCCTTTGGCAGGTTAAAGCTGTTCTCTGCTGCTGTGGAGGGCGGAAGCTGTGACCTTCCTGCCCAGGATGCCCAGCAGAGAGGGTATGTGTCTGTGCAGGTGCCTGGGGTACAGTAGCCTTCTTAGGGACACTTGAGTGGTAAGAAGTGGGACTGCCCCTTGGCAGAGCCACAGATACTGGCTTTTCCCTTCTGTTTTCCTGTAGCACTCTTATTCTGCATGTTTTAACCCATTCAACCCCACCTGCCCAGAGGTGGCCAGTACTGGAAGAAGCTGCAGGGCTGAGCAGAGCCTTGAAGTTCTCCTACCTCTATCTGAGTCACGGGCAGGTTAGAACCATCTTCCACTTAAAATTACTTAGAGGAGCACTGGTCACTGCTTCTGGCAGTAGCTCCTTACACAGGAGATGGCGCCTTGTTAGTGGAGCAGCAAGCAGCTGCTCCTGCATCCCTCTCTCCATCTCCTCCTCCATCTTAGCATCCCCTCCATGTAAAACTTCACCTCTTCTCACAGACAAGTGCTTTATCCTCAGAGTCATTTTATTACCAGTTTTGCTTTAGATTAAATGGGCCTTCAGTATATAAAAATAATGTATACAAATGAGCAGTTAACGTTTTACATTCCTGGCTTAAAGTCATTTATAAGTTACACATTCATTTCCCTTCCCTCCCCTCCCCTTCAAGCTTGCGGGTGGTACCAAGCCAGCGCTTAGCATCTTACTTACAGCAGGAAACAGCCACTGCTTGAGCTCTGCAGCGGGGCCTTACCCTCCTCTAAGAGCTGGGGCAAGCGAGGCCATTTAACAAAGTAAATGCATTAAAGGTTAATTGTGAAGTGCATGGTTTGGAGTTACTCAGCAGCAGCAGGACAGGGGAGGAATTGAGTCCAGTGCGGTATGGGAGGCTCGTGCAGCTCCTGCACCACTGCAGCAGTGACCTTGCAGTGATTTAGGGTCGTGGTGGTTGCTCAAGGGCTGGAGGCTGCCTGCTGCCTGCTGCTGGCTGCTCCCCGAGGGACCATGGATGCTCCAGCCCCAACAGCAGAGGTGTGTGGCAATGGGCAGAGCTGAAGCCACCTCACAGAGACTTGAGGACAGTAAATCCTTGTCTCTGCTGCTGATTGTTGTAGGTACAGAGCCTGCCCTGCGGCGAGGAGCAGCCCAGTGCTGCCCACCACAGCCTTCAGATCCCAGTGAGACCTTGTACATGGGTATTCCAGCCTCTGCTCCACAGCACAGAGAAATTTAAAGGAAGACGTATAAAATCACTGTAAAATAGCACCCCTGCCAGCCCCTGGGGGACGGGATGTGCCCAGGGTGGGATCTTTGCAGCAGGCTCCTCACTGGATTGGAGGTCTGCAGTGGAGGAGAGCTTGGGTCTCAAAGGGCTCTGCAAGGCCGGGGGGAGATGGAGATGTGCAGGGATCGCTGCATCCCTGGCTCCCAACCCTTGTCCCCTCCTGCAGCAGCAAATCAAAGGCACCAGCAAGCTGAAGAGCAGAGCACACCAGTACAGTGCTGAGCCTGAGACAGGCGTGGAGCAGCTCTGGGGTAGAGATGGGCAGCCCCTCTTTTCCTTCCAGGACAATTTGAGCTCCGTTCTGTGCTCCCCTCTCCATGCCCATAGCCAGGAGGGTCCCCAGCCCTGCCTGCCTGGAGGAGAGGAGCTCAGGTATCACTAAGCAAGCGCCGGGGGATCCCTGCGCCAGACCCAGGGTCATGCGGTGGGAGCTGGCACGCGAAGCTGAAGCAGCCAGGAGCAGGAGCTGTCCCGGTGCCCTGCGGTGTTCCATGGTCGTACCCCGGTCCTGGCCGCTGCAGCGCCGGCACCGCTCACAGCGGGATGTCCGGCGTCGCCTGCAGGCTCTGCCCTGCAGCCCGTTTCTTGGAGCTGCCGCGGCCCTTGTCTGCGCGCCGGTAGGGGTTGTTCCTCAGATCTGCACCGGGAGGAGCACGGAGACCGGCTGAGCTCCGCCTGCCCGCCCCGGACACGTCACCCATCACTGCCCGGAAGGCACTCGTCTGGGGATGAGGATGCTCAAGAGAAGCCAAACCAGCAGCACAAAGACGGGAGGAGCAGCAGCTACAACCAACCAGCCCCTGGAGCCCTTTCTCTTCGCTCTCTGGTGCCCAGCACTATATCAAGGGGCTGAGGCTGGTGCCGCAGTGCCCCCGGGCTGGCTCCCGGTGTGGGGCAGAGTCCAGCTGATGTGTCACACACCCGGAGGTGACAATGGGATAAGGAGCCCGGGGAAGTGACCAAGCCTGGCAGCCCCCCGCGTGCCCCTGCGCCGAGCCCCGCTGCCCCGCATTACCTACAGAGGACTTTCCTCATTGAAGCTCACATCGCAGAAAAGCCGGGACGAGCGCTTGCCCGTCCGGGCTGTGAAAGGAACAGTTTTCAGAGCTGAGCAGAGACATCCAGAGAGGAGGAGGAGAGAGGAGGAAGAAGCAGAAGAGGAGGAAAAGCTGTGAGACAGGGCAGGGAGCACTTGCACCGCATGCAATGAGAAGGTGCTACAGGTAGGTTTGTTTCCACAGTGGTGCTTTGTTGCCCGCAGCTCCTGGCTGTGACAGGCTCCTGCAGCCCCCCATCACCACGGGCGTCCCTGCTGCAGGGGGTAGATGTCTAGCCACTACCTGAAATAATATCTCACCTGAAATAATATCCTCAATGGCCCCATCTTTTCCCTCATAGATAAGTGGCTCCTTCACCATCTGCTTCTTCTTCAGCTCGGCGATCATGTCCACCTGCTGCCGCTTGGCTTTCTGGATGGGCAGCTGCAGTGGGGACAGTGTGGGGTGAACAGCATGGCCCTCACTGCCACCCAAAGGGGACGGGGTGCCTTCACCTTCCCTCCCTCTCCTCCCCTCCCTCCCCAGGACCTCCTTTCCAACCCCCCTTCCCCACAGCCTGCACGGGGCTGGAGCCCGGTACCCCACCAGGACAGAGACACTTGGGGCACCATCACCTCAGGGTGGTCCTCACTGCCAGGAGAGCCAGATTCTGCCTCTTTGGCTGCGGCCTCTTGTTTCTTCCACATCTCAATGTCCTGCTCTGCTTTCTTGGGAGAGACACGGGGAAGGTGTGCTGAGATGGGGAGTCCTGCTGCGGATCTGCAGCACTCCCAGTCCCAACCAAGCTCCAGCATCTCCAACTCTCCCAAATGGCATCAGTGAACGC